TCTTTCACCATGCACTAAATTAAAATCCAAGTGGATTAAAGATCTAAATATTAAAACAGAAACATTAAACTTGCTGGAAGGTAAGTTAGGTAGAACTCTGGAAGACATTGGTATAGGAAAAGACTTTATGAACAAATCCTCAGTAGCATGGGAACTAGCAGATAGAATCAACAACTGGGATCTCATCTTATTAAAAAGTTTCTGTACTTCAAAAGAAACCATCAGTAGAACTAAGAGACAATCTACAATGTGGGAAAAAAATTTTACCAGCTGTTCCTCAGACAAAGGACTATTATCAAAGATATATAAAGAACTCAAAACAATCAGTCCTCCAAAATATAAAGACCCGATTCAAAAATGGACATCCGAAAAATGAACAGACATTTCTCAGACAAAGAAGTAAAAGCAGCAAGAAAATATTTGAAAAAATGTTCCACATCACTGGTCATTCGAGAGATGCAGATGAAAACAACACTGAGATTTCACCTCACCCCACTAAGAATGGCTGCTATCAAGAAATCACACAACAACAAATGTTGGCACAGTTGTGGGGAGAAAGGAGCCCTTCTCCATTGTTGTTGGGAGTGCAGACTGGTGCAACCACTATGGAAATCAATATGGAGATAGCTCAAAGAACTAAACATTTGACCCAGCCATCCCTCTGCTGGGTATCTTTCCAAGAGAACTAAAAGAATCGTATCACAGAGAAGTATGTGCACCCATGTTTATAGCAGCACAGTTTGTAATAGCTACATCTTGGAAACAGCCAATTTTCCCATCCGTTGGAAACTGGATAAAGATGTGGTTTTTCTATAAAATGGAATATTACTCAGCCATAAAGAACAAGAAAATAGATTCATTCATAGGAAAATGGATACATATTGAAGATATACTCCTAAGTGAAATAAATAAGTCACACATGTGTAAATACCAAATAATTTCCCTGGTGTAAATAATCTGCAACAATGCATAAGATTCTAATAAGATTATTGACATTTAGAAATGGGAAGAAAGGAGCTAAAGGTGTAGGGAAGGTGGGATGGGTAGGGGAAGAGTAATAAGGGAAAAGAAAAAAATGTGAGACAATGAAAAGATGAAAATAAAGTGTTTGTAGATAGGGAGGGGAGGAGGGGGTGAAGGGAGGGCAGAGGTAAGGGGAAAAAATGAGAATCAAGGCCTGTCATGTAAAGGTACAAGATCCCAACAATGAATGTAACTGTACTGTATTCCTAAAATGTACCAATAAACTCAATTAAAGCTGAAAAAAAAACAAAAGATAATATTGAGGAAATAAAAATGCAAGGGGAGAAATATTTACAATATAAATTTCTAACAAAGAACTGTATTCAAATTGCATAAAAATGCATTACAAAACAAAAAGAAAAAGACAAACAACCAGTCTCTTAAAAGCACAAAAGACACATTCACAAAAAGGCATTAACAAGTTGTCAATAAACACATGAAAAAATATTCAATATTTTTAATTATCACAGAGGTATAAATTAAAATCATAATTAGATACTACTTCACACTCATTGGAATTATCAAAATTAGAGAATACAAAATTAAAGTTGGAAAGAATTCAAAACAACTGGATTGGAGGAGGCATTTAAGATGATTAACCTACTATGGAAAAAATGTTTGGCACAATCTTATAATGCTAAACCTACATCTACATCACTGTTTAGCAATTCCACTAGATATTTACTCCCATTCAAATGAAAATATATGTCAACAAAAAGACATGTTCGAAAATGTTTATTGTAGTTTTATTCATAATGACACAAAATTGGAAACAACATAAGTATCTACCAAGAGGAAAATAACTGAGCAAATTATAGTATATCCTGATGAAATATTACTTATTAATAAAAAGGAACAACCTGATAATATGAACAATATGAACAAAATGCTGATAAATATATAAAGGGATATACATTGATAAAACTCATCAAACTTTATACTTAAATCTATAGAATCACTGTGTGTAATCTTAATTTTTTTTTTTTTTTTTTGGTACCAGGGATCAAACTTGGGTCCTTGCTCTTGCAAGGCAGTTGGTGGAACCATTGAACTAAACTCCCAGCCCTTAATATAAAAATTTTAAAAGCCTGGAACATAGATTTTGTTTAAAACTCACATTCCTTCAGACTATTCAAGGCCTACCGTTCATACTGAAGAAACTAAGATTATTTGCTCTGTTTCCACAGGTGTTGCAAGAGGGGATCAAACTTGGGTCCTTGCTCTTGCAAGGCAGTTGGTGGAACCACTGAACTAAACTCCCAGCCCTTAATATAAAAATTTTAAAAGCCTGGAACATAGATTTTGTTTAAAACTCAGTTTCCTTCAGACTATTCAAGGCCTACCGTTCATACTGAAGAAACTAAGATTATTTGCTCTGTTTCCACAGGTGTTGCAAGAGAGATTTTCTCAAACTTTACACAGCTACCAAGCAACAATGCCAAGCAAAGCACAAAATCTGATAGTGTCTATTTGTAATCCGGACAAGAAAAGAACATTCTGGAGTACAAAAGCAGGTTAGATTCTGGGTCGTCCAACCAACCCATTCAGGCACAATGTTGGTGTCCCTGATTCTAGTGAGTGTGGCTTTGGCATCTGCTAATCATTCTGGTGAGGACTTTGAAGGGTAGGTGAGAAATTCTTTGAAGAATAAGTTCTTCCTTGCCTAAAAGTTTGGACATACCACCAGCTTCAAATTTTTTCTTTTTATGTTATTTCACCTTTTAGCCATAAGGTTTTCCGTGTCACTGTTGAAGATGAAAATCATATCAACTTAATGCATGAGTTGGCCAGCACCAGCCAGGTAAGTAACAATTCCATACTTTAGGTTTGTTTCATACTGACATTTAGAAATGGGAAGAAAGGAGCTAAAGGTGTAGGGAAGGTGGGATGGGTAGGGGAAGGGTAATAAGGGAAAAGAAAAAAATGTGAGTTAATGAAAAGATGAAAATAAAGTGTTTGTAGATGAGGAGGGGAGGAGGGGGTGAAGGGACGGCAGGGGTAAGGGGAAAAAATGAGAATCAAGACTTGTCATGTAGAGGTACAAGATCCCAACAATGAATGTAACTGTACTGTATCCCTAAAATGTACCAATAAACTCAATTTGAAAAAAAAAAAAAGCTGATTATGCTGTGATTCCGTCAAAGGAAGAATAGCATAAAATAGTAGCTACAGCATTTTTGGTAGCAAGATATAAAAATTTGCTAAGTACTTAATGTAACAATACTTGCTTTCTGCTAAATTGTATTGCTGTACACCTAATAGTATTGCAGGTCCATGCGTACTTTTAAAAGATTTGGGAGTGCAGTAACTGAAACAGTTGAAGCTGTCTTGAGGTCATAAAACATTTCATGTCCAATCACCTTCTAAGGCAAAAGATAAAAATGATCAACCTGAATATTTCTGAAAAACTGGTCTTTTGTCCAACTTCAAATTCATTTCCACAACCCATGTATCATGTATTCTCTTTGATTTTTCTTTCATTCCAAGTCGAACTGCTTGAGTTTTCATTACCTTGATTTTGGTTCCCTTAATGATAGAATATAAGGCTGGAAAGAAGGTAAAAGAAACTTCCTTGCTTTTCTTTTGCTTTCAAGAAACTGAAATCTCTATACTACCTTTTAAAAGCCAGTGAATCTGGAACAAGAATCATCATTTTTGATTAAATATGCATTAATGGCAGAAAGCTATTATTGACCATAAATATTTCTACTTGAACTGATGTCATTTCTTCATGAATATATAAAATAAAATAAAATAGTCTCCTAGTTCCTAAATATCCATCTCACAACTATCTGTCAGATGTAGAGGAAGGAAGAAGTAGACAATGTTACAGTCATGAAATCAGACGATTAGAATTGAAAGAAAATATAAAGTCATCCATTCCACCCTTCCACTTAAATCTAGAATTTCCTCCCAGGAAATAATATCAGGTACTTCCAGGAACAACAGGTTCACTACTTATGTATTCACCCATTTTTCTTGCAAATCACCTTATTTGTTTTCTTCCTTATATTGAGCTACAATCTGTTTTCTCTAATTTGGCCTATTAGACCTAGATAAGTCAAATACTGTGTTCCCTCTAGGAGTTAGCTTTTTCAGGCTTTCCATCATTTCCTTTAGCACTGCTTTAGAGTCTTTTGAGCATTCTGCTCTCCTCTGATTATAGCTCAGTCTTTCTGTCTATGTTTCTTTTTTAAAATGTAGCTACCAGAATTGACAACATGCCTGCAGGTGTGTTCTGATTAATACGTACTACAAGAACATTGCCTGCCTTCATTTGTAAAGGAGACATTTATTAATGGGGCCTAAAATTCTTTTTAGCATCTTAAGCAACCGTAGAACACACTTGGCCTCTATTAAACCTGTGTTCAATCAAAACCATTAAGGCTTTTTCTCACATGCATCACCCTCAAACAAGATATCCCTCCTTCTGTGCTTGCCTAATTGATTTTTTTTTTACCTAAATGCAGGATTTTTAGATTTATGCTGTTAAAATGAAAGTTGATAGCTTGCATTTGACATGTTTTATCTTTTTAAAAATAAATTCAGTCCTTCAAGAAGATAATTCTTCCCCCTAACTTTGCATCACCAGCAAGTTTTATAAGTAATGCCTTCTTGACTTTTATCTTTCTCACTGAAGAAAAGTATTAAGTGGGACAGGGAGCTGCACAGAATGGATGCCTCTTTTATATTTTACTCATTCAATACATGTTTACCATGAATCTTCAGTGTGCCAAGCACCACATTAAGTATTAAAAGTGATTCATTAACCTACTCTCCTTGGACAAATTTGCTCAACCACCCTGAGTCAGTGGGGTATTTATCCAGAGCTAACACTGTGCCACTTTTGAGCTTGTAAAAAGGATATCCATGCAGAGACTTCGTCAAATGCTTTATTGAGATCAAGATTCAGTATTCTACCAGTTTAGTGCCCTCTTCCAGTAATAAGATGACGTTAATTGGGCCTGACTTATTCTTGCCTAAAACCACGCTTGCTCCTAGAGATCTCAGCTTCCTTTTCTGAGCACTCACAGTCCATCTGCTTCCAGTTTACTCGGCAGCTTTGCCAGAATCCATGCCAGGTCCCAGGAGCTCCTGCCTCTGGACTTCACCTGTTTTCCTGTTTATGAAATCCAAGCCTATGCTCCTCTACTCCCTAGTGAGCCCGTTAAGCTCTAATTCTTCCAATATTGCTGAGAAAGTTCTGTAATTGCAACTGCAGTATTTTTTAAATTATGTAAAATTCAGCATTTTAGGGGGTCAAGAGTAGAAAATCTGGTCTCAGACTGCCTGGTATCAATTCCTGGCCCTACCACTTGCTGGCTGGGCCTTGGCCACCCGTCAGAGTCTTGCTTTCCTCATTTGTAAAATCATGATAATACTATTTGCCTTAGAGGAGTGTTGTGAGCATTAAAAGAATATAGGTGAAGCACTTAGAAATAACTTAAAAAGAAAGAGCTATGCAAGTGTTTGATTATTACTATCATTAGATCTAGGATTCTGAATACAATTTACATACCAGTATAATTACCCATGTCCTCATCTACCTTGGGCCTCAAAGCTTTTAATCTAGAGGCGGTACTGATGCTTAAATAACATGTGAAAAATTCTTTATTATCCTGGTGGTGATTTCATCTTTAGAAGTAGAAAAATAAAAAAATAGTGTTAGCTCTTTCTTAGTCAACACAGAAGCCAAAAAAGAATAAAGAGGGCTACTTTCTCTCCAATCAGAAACATATGCTTCTGCTCTCACAGTAGGACACATGGTTTGTGTTTTGTTTTGTTTTGTTTCCAACATGAAATAAAGAGATTTTTATTCTGCTTAGCAGTCATGTGGATGAGTATATTCTGGGATGTAGCCTTCCTGATAAGATCATTACAAGGGCATCCGTCTTTGTATTCATCCTTGGACATGTGTCCTTCCTCCCAGCTTTTGAACATGTCCTTTTAAAAGTGCAATGTGTTGGAGAAATCTGTGACTACACTATATACTTCAGTAGCCTCTCCTTTATTCACCTGTAATTGTACAGTATGAATTTTATTTTATCTCCTTGCAATCAAAGTTGCACTGGTTCCTCTTAATAACAGTCTCCATAAAACCTAATCTCTCTCTATTTTTTTTTTTTTTTTTT